ACAAAACTCATTCAAATTAACTAATATTTGTACATAAATTCCTTTTTTTTTATTCATCTTTCAGTACAGAAACTATTTTATTCTATACTTTCTCCCGGTACTGTACTACTTGTTCTCTCATTTTTGCCTTGTCATAACGCGGGAACTTGAGACCCGTGAATTTTTTGTTTTATGCGTTTTCTTTTTCTCCGAAACGAAGCGTTTTTTATGAGCCGTTATTAACGAGTACGTTGCCCTCTCCGGTGCTGTTATTATCAGCCTAATTCAGTTTTTCGTTTTCTCATCTGGCATTTAAGATCTTTAATTAAATCACTTAGAGTATAATTACGAATAATAAAATAATAATTGATTTCATGAATTTTAATACGCATTTCGTTTAAAAATGTAGAACCTTTTTTTATAGAAAATACGAGTTATTTTTATATTTTGATGATGTAAGCTATCTGTTCGGGCGTTTGAGTTCATTGCTCGTACCGTTAAAATGATAGAAATTATAGAAAAGTATTTTATCGTTGGATTACGTTTATCGCCTGTGTTCTTCTTATCACGATCAGAATTGTGCGATCTTTATTATTGATTTATAGTAATCCATTATAATACTAATAGATCAAAGTATCAATGTATTACAAGTGAATGGTAAAGTTTGTCAGAGCAGAGAGATAAAATAATACAAGTATCGATCATTATGAAATAGCGTCCTTACGATAGTCTGCGAACTTTGATGCATTCATAGAAGTGAAAGCTTGCTATTGTTAGATCCACTTTACTCGCTTCGACCCCAAAAGTTTCAAGTCAATCGGCATAAGATGATTTTTTTTTTTATTGTATTTTACAAGGATTTAGTTTTGATATATCAATGATAATTCTCAGAGGTCATTAATTTTTCACGGATATACTTAGGATCCATTGATTTCCTAGTTTTTGGAGCGCGTGCAGCGCGAAACTTGCGCACGAAACAGAGGGAGGAAAGAACATGTGTGAGCTCAGCGACCTTGGTCCCACGCGGTCATTAGCCGGAACTAAAGGAAACCGACAGCCGTGATTGGCTGTTTCGCTTGGAACAAGCTTCTTTTCTATGTACGCGCACGTGTAATCGCACGCGGAATTCGGCGACGAAATTCGGTCGCGAGAGAACTATTTAACTCGCGCACTCTGCATCGCCGACCTTGTTAGGCTATTGGCCCCATGCCATACCGTTTTCGCCCCTTGGTTCTGCCTTCCTTTGTCGCCTTATTGGCGACTTAGGTCGCGTTGCTACTAACCCTCTAACTCCTTATCTTTTCGCAACTTTTCAAACCTGTCTACAAATGTTAGGTATCAACTTGAACGCATTATAGAATCTCATGAATCATTTCATAGTACGGGCTAAAAAATTGACGTATAATTAAGGCAAAGAACGTATTAGTGAAACTGTATTAAGTAGGAATGAAGAATTAGAATTTAGGATCATGCAACTGATTCGTCTATTGTACTTCATTAGTTCTTGACACAGATTTTTATTTATTTTTTACTCAATTTCTGTTTTGAGATTATAACAGAAAAGATATTATCATCCTCTTTGATATTTATTAATCAACATGTGACTAGACCTAGAATAAAATATTACATTTAATATTTTATTAGAAAAGTCTGTATCGTACTTTAAAAAAAATCTATGAAATGGTGCGAGCTCTTCGCGTCAAAGTAACTTAGCTAGCCTATAGAAACTTGTGTGGAAAATTAGATTACTATTATTCAGGACAATCATATTCTGTACAATCTAAAACACACATGAAGTCATTTTTTATAATGTGTCATCAAAAGCACACTATAAAATGAAGTATTTTCGTGTTTACACGAATTGTAGATTTTATCGCGAAATGAATCAAAGTCGTGATAAAAATCGGTATTATATTCGGTGGAACAGCAACTGAAGGGAACATCTAATTTATTATGCTGCTTCCGGGTTCTCTGTACAGTACGACGTTAGACGTGCACAGAGTAATAGAATTGTGGAACGAGCGTTAGAAGAGGAAACGATGACCATGGTAGGAAACCGAAAACCGTAGTCGTAGCCCATAAAGCTGTTCAGCAGCTGGCCTTGGAGTATGAATAGATTGCCCGTGAAGAGTGCATTGCTCCGTTGCGTAATGGGCCGCGTGTTATTTGCAAGTTTCTTCTCGAGCGAGAATTCCTGTGGACACAGCGAATTAATTTCACGTTCTTAAGCAAATGGTTCTCACTTAAGAGATCGTTCCACCGCTTGTTTACCGATCGTGATTTGCGCTCCGAATACGGCAAGATATAAATGAGATTTCAAAATTGTACTCGCTTATAAATGCCTCAATGATTTTTATATTTCTTGCGTAATTATAATTACGGAACAACTTTTTAATTGTGATTGTAACAATTAGTAAGTGACAAATAAAATCCGTTGAAATCGATTTGATGAGTTTGAACGATTTCGAGAGAAACGAAACGTTGATAAACGTGAACGCGTAATGTATCTGACATTGTTATCTGTCGTATAATTCGGACGTGTGATTAATACGCGAGATTAGAAATTTTGCAGCGACACATCGTGCGATAATTTCATTCGCAATGATAGGCGCTAAAACAGAGTTTTTTTTATAAATAGTAGAGACACATCATTTGTTTACTAGCTCATTCAGTTGTACTCATATTCTTCCGATGATTGAATCGCGATACAGTCGTATACCATAAATGTATTTTTGGGATGAAAGTTGATAGTGTACCTAATAACCATTATTCATTTCATGAAAAATGTCACTTAAGAATTCACCTCTGAGATCTTAAGAATGAATATTGGATAACTTATTATTTTAATATAACTTCACTATAAAGCAAAATATAGGTGATTAGAGCTTATTATAATGAAAGGTTTTTAAAATATTAAATAGCTCAGTGAACATTGCCGTGTGGGTCGCCGGTGATCCATAAATGGTCAATTTTCGTTAAGCGGGCAAGAATACCTCTCTGTGCTTTATTTAATCAAGTTATGTATAAGAAAAAATTTTCGCAATACTTTTAAAGAAACATGTTTAAAAGAATGTTAAACAAACAATATTCTAAAATTAAATAGAAAAAGAGATATATCGATATTCTTTTGAGAGCACAATATCATAAGTAACCAAATTAGAACGCGTGAATAGATGCGTATTGTTGCGAGCAAATATTTTTGGAGAGATTCGAAGCTGAAACACATCCGTGTCGTATTTTCACTGCGACGATTCATATTCAAACAAAGGATGAGGGAATACCAGGCACATGTTTCCGGATCCTGGTTCTGAGCCGTTGGTATAAGCCAAGCCAAAATCACGCTAAGCAAAACGCCCACACTGGCACACGCGATTCGGTCGTTGGCCCCTGCAGACCACGCATCTAGGATCTATGTATATTTGGCTCGGATATTTCTAAGCTCCGCTATACATATATACGTTACATTGCAAATACACGCGAAGCGAGATTATTATTTCTCTGCACTTACTTCCATTAACAGTCGAGAAAGGAGTATTTTAGCGATACAAATAATGTTCTGGTAGATCGAGTTTATTGATGGTGAATTATTAAAAAATGAGGATAATTATATTGTTAGTAGAATTCGTATATTACAATGTTCTCACCATAATTCTTATTTATTTATTGTTAATCTGAGTACATAATGCAACTAACATCAGTTTCAACGATCACTAGATTTTCGATTACATTTACATATAAAGAGTGCGGACGACGTAGTTCCCGAAAGGGTTCACTTTTTTTTAACGAACCTCCCGAATGTCAAGGAGCACCGAAGAACTCGATATGCTTTAGTTAGGCGAGCTATTCCGAAAGGCAGGTGGTTTCGGTCACCTGGCCGGTCGTTCTCGCGTGTCCCTTTTTTATGCTCTTGATTTCCTTATTCCTGAGATATCGTGTTATACTGCGCCTCATCTCGTCTTTCTCGGTTCATGCATAACCGACCGGTGACATGGTTTTTCTGGCGCTTCTCAGGTGTTCCCATCAAAAGTAGGAAGCGCGGGTTACATGGCTAATGATACATTGTTCACTTCTGTTTATACGATTTTTACAGCTACTCTTTTTTAACTGTGTCAGAAAATTTGTTATCATCAGATATCATCAGTGTCTTAATCTTGCCAAATTGTGACAAAAATTATAATGTACTGGCTCGAAACTAATAAGAATGGTATGTTCCTCACGGGTTTATCGAATAACGTATGGGACGCCGTTAGAAGCATATCAAACGATATCGTATTACGCGCACGTTACACTTGCGCACGTGAGTCGTAAATTACGGAAAATCATGTCCGACGATGACCTAGATGTCCAACGGGCTGCAAGAAAGGGCATTCGACTTCAAGCTGGCGCTCTGCCTTCTTGACTCCTTTATACTTGCTTCGCGCGGAGAGAAATGGAAACTGGATAGTAAAAAAAGGTTCAACAGACACCACTTCCTCTAGAAAAAATTGCCGCGGTTTCTGCCTGTCGCTCTATACCTAAACTTGTGAGAAGAGAAGTCCAAAATACGTCGTTAGACACGAAAGTCGAGTAGTTCTTGGAGAAACGCATGTATCTCGATTTTATGCAAGATTGTTTATATAATATCATCGGATTCCATGTTTGAAAACAAGATGTTTGATGAAACCCTATTAAAGACAGACATTTTTACTATTATAATTGTTCTTACGCTCTGGTCAAAATAAAATTAGCCCTAAACCTATTGATAGTTTCTATGCACTAATATATTTATATTTTTTCCATTTGAGTGCAATTTAATCTAATAGACACTAGTACTTGCGTTTGGTAGTAGACGTAGTAGTTTAACTAATATAAATACAACTTTAACAATGTTTTCTTTTCATTTCTTATAGAAGAATTTAAAATCGATGCATTCTAAGTTTAGCGTTAAATCGTGATGTATTTTGTCTTGGAAGGAGGCTACACAGTTGTACACGTGAAATATTTGAAAATATAGCCAATCTCTGTTTTTACGTTTGTTTCAGGAGTAACGTTCAAGGCGCACAGGTTGATACTCGCAGCATGCAGCAAGCACTTTCAAGAGCTCTTCGAAGGAATGCCTCCTTCGCCCGCGGGTCTGATCGTTATTCTCGATGGGACGAGTGCTCACAATATGGCGTCCCTCCTCGAATTTATGTACCGCGGAGAGGTACACGTGTCCCAGGAATCCCTCAGCTCTTTCCTCAAAGCGGCCGAATGTCTTCAAGTATGCGACTTATTTCATCTTGCTTAGAAATAATTACCCTAAATAGCAGTCACGCGTTTCCTAACGCGGTACGCATACCTTGTGTTCCTTCGGGGAAACATCTTTTTATTTTTGGCCGAGATTAATGGTCAGGAGTTCCTGTTCTCTGAAACGCGAAAGCGTGGTCACAGTCCTCACGAAGACTTTAAAGCCTTTATGATATATTTCGTTTATAACTTTAAATATCAAGTCAATTTCCAATCTTTATACATAATATATCTGCACTAGAATATCCTGTGGTTTTTGTCTAATTACAGGTAAAAGGTTTGTCCATTGAGCACGAGAAGTTGGCAGTGGCGCAGAGGCACGCAGCGGAGAACAATAACTCGTCCACGGAGACCGCGAATAGCGGGGGTGAAGGTAACGGAAGCGGTGACAACGGAAGTAGCGGCAGTGGCAACGTGAGCGGAAATGTTGCTGGCAGCGTGAGTGGTAGCGTGGGCGATGGGATCGGTGGCGGGGTCGTCGAGGTGAGCGACTTGAGCGAAGCGGGTGAAGCAACCATGGTTAGAGACACCATGAAGAGGACCCGTACACCGGCACCATCGCCCGCCCCTGCCTACACCGTGCCCAGCCTTTACTCCACTACCTCTCACTATTACGAAAGCCCGCCTCCGAAAAGGCTGATGAGGTAAGCCCTTTTACCAAGCCGCGAAGGACTCGCGCGCATTAACTTTTAAAACGCCAGCGACCTTCCTTCGAACGATCAGTATCTCCTATCCAGTATTATATGGTTTTGATAAAGTCTAATCAACAGTCGTTACGATAGAATATAAAATAACTACTTCCAAATGCGTATACGAAATTATGTAACATTCAAACATTAATAATATTCTTCTACTATACCTAAAACAGAAGAATTACACGAAATACGAAATTCATTACTAAAGATTTTTTTATCGATTTGATCAGCTGTACAATGAGAACGATTACTCGTAGCTTGTTGCTAAAACAAAATCATCGAATGGTTAAGTACAATTTTATGCGGAACGGGTTGTTTTTTTTGGGAATACTTATAGATCGCCGAGTGAAGTCGATACCCTGGGGAGGGCGAGCGTTTTGCGCGATGGCACCGCCTTCCGGCCCGCATCAGCGCCGCATCCGCTTCTCTTGGAGAACCACTTCTATCAACCGTTCATCCATCCTTCGGAAACACCCGCACATCCGCACACCGCACCGCATACACCCACGGAATTGGAACAGGAACTGGAACGAGCGAGGTCCGAGGAACGTAGCCATTGCGATCTTAAAGAAAGCGTGGCCGAAGGTAAGAATCATGCAATGTAGCAAGTTCTTAATCTTTCCATTTCCGGGGTAATAAGAGAAGAAAGAAAAAAAATCTCATTTAATTTATGTTGATCGTAATATGGTCTATTACGTTTATTGTTTAGATCTTCGCATAAAGCAGGAACCGGTGGCATTGTCAGACCGAGAGAGGACAGACAAATTGGCAGAAAGATTGTCGTTCGATGGTGGCCACTACGGTTCGAATTCGGATCACATTCAACACGGAGGGCAAGTGGGCCATGCCATGGTGCCACTTCCACCAGCTCATCCACCGACCCCTGATCTCAGTCCCGCTCCCACTACCCCTGCTATGTGGAACACGAAAATCAACAAGGCTAGCTCTGTCACCACTCCTGACGGTAAGTCAATTTTTTTCGTTGCATGTGTGATAAAATTTACGATTGTTCAACAAATTCGTCAAGATATTGAGCAACTATTAAATAGAACTATTACATTTATCGCGATAATTCCGATGAAGTTATAGTATAGATATCGTTTTAACGAAGGTAAAATATCTTATCTGGGTCAATGAGACGCCAGAAGGCAAGACATTCCAAATCTAATGTTACAAAATGCACGATCAGTCGTTGCATCATCGGCTGCACGTGGAGCTTTTTTGGTGTGGCAATCCGTTTCTCTGGTAGTCAGTTGCGCACTCTTTTCTTCATTAGTAGTTTTGAGCGATAATTTAGTAACAATATAAAAAATTTAAAAATATTTTTGAAATTCTAACAGAATTAAATCCTTTGTATATTTATACCGATATATGCATACTGTGCATGTATATAACTTATTTAAAAAACATACTTAAAATTTTTATTGGAGTTACGTTTAAAGTATAAATCGATACGCCCTCAATAATGTTAAGAATGCTGCTCGTTTCATTTTCATGATTTTGCCGAATTCATATTATAGTTGATAAAAATCATTCACATTAAATATAAAAAATATAATTTATGGCTCAACAGCTCAGCAGGTAGCAAAATGTTCTTGATTGGATCAAAGAAAGACTGATCCATTCTCATAATAATTTAATAAAAAAAATATTAATAATATAAATTGATCATTTAATTTGTAAACAATAAAGGGTTGAATTTGAGGTGTTTTGTATGCGTCATTTCGTTCTTTACAATTTAGATTTTAGATTCAAATACAACGACTCTGAAAACACTATATTCATGAGAATCTAATTTTCTACTATACTAATTTTCATGAGAATCGAAAAACGTCTTCATATTCTGGCCAATTTTTTCGCAATCATTGTGCGACGTACGTCGGAGCAACGGCATTGCGTCCCGCAAAATTTTGCTCCAACCCTCCTTTCTCCACCTTCTCTCTTTTTCTCGGCACGTTCTCGGCCGATGGTATTTTTTACCTCGTACGGATTCTCCGTCGAACGGTGCGCTCTAACGCGCAGAAAAAGAGCAACGACGACGATAACGCCGCGCCGTTAGACAGGATTTACGGACGCCCGGCGCCCGACGCCCACCTGGTCGTTCTGCCTTAGGACGACATTGGTTGCCTCGCCTTCACGGTGTGAACAAAGTGTACAAAGAGGATGCAGGCGACGCGACGGTGCAGCCACTGGGAACATCTTTTGCTCCGACGAGCAAATCACCGGCCGTGTGACGCCACGACACCCAACGTTAAAATGGATAGTATCTCGTATACGTATAGGGTCGCTAGCCATCGATACAAGAATAATCGAAAATGTGAACGTCGTCATTGGAGGTCCAGGATCGCTCGACGTCCTGAGTATCGTGCTCTGACCATTTTTAATCGTTGTTAGATGAGCAGGCACCCGCGACGGGTAAAGAAAGAAGCGAACCGTCAACTAATATGCAACGGTTATTGACATTAACCAGCGTGCTTGAGAAAAGAAGGTTGAGGAGAAAAGGGATCGGCCGGTAGAGTGTTTGCCTGTGTCCGCGGAAGAGGAAAAGAGGAAGGAACAGGCTGCGAGAAGAAAGGGAGGAGGTGGCCTTTTCTGCTCGGTTTTCGTTTCGTAAGCGACCGAATGAACGAACTAATTGGCGTTCGGTCGAATTGTCGCGGCAATGAAATGAACCGTGGGGAACCGTGAGGAACCGTGGGGAAACAGTATGGGTCTGTTGGATCATTCTATTAGAAGTACAGTTATGCTAGCTTTGACTTTGTCGTTAGGAGTTAGGCTTTTTGTTAGAGGTTCTTTCTAGGAAACGATTCGTTGCGTTTCGAATGGCCGAGATTTTTGTGAAACGGTGTGTTCAATTCCGGAGATGATACGGTTTAAATATCGTGCTATCGATAGACTCGTTTACTTTCTATTCTTCTTTAGGTTGAACCAATAATTGCGGGGGTTTTAAACTGTGCGTGACTGTAATTACATCATTCCCCTTTTCTTTCTTCTAAGAACACAGCGGGACTTTCTCTCGGTATTTTAGATCGTTTCACGCGTTCTTCTTTCGCGCGTTTTTCAAACCACAGACCGTCTAATTTCTTGTCGTCGGAATCTCTTGGTGAGAATTAGAAGACCAACTTCATTGTCCTGAATAACGTTTCGGAACCACATCTTATACAGTGGCTCCCATTAATATTCGTGTCCATTTCAAACCTGAATTACTTTTTAAATATTAAACTAATATGGTACAAGATAATGTAACAATGAATATGTACCTCAGACGATTTTGTACGTCATGTGATTGAATTATAGATAAACAGACCAGAAACCGTTTCCGTGTCCGTTCAAGTCGATGCACTACGACTGTATCTATTTCGTGTGCTCTCTACCTCATCTATTTCCCTCCGTGTCATCGTCTCAGCTGCAATTTCGCGCACGTGCCTCATAAATGTTTCAGCTAGCGGCGTATGCACGCGTGTCGATCACGTCGGGCACTTCCGAGCACACCGGCGCACGGTTTCGTGCGTCTTCCTGAAACATTAATTCGTCGTTTCCGACTATTAATTCCGTATGCGGGATCGCCGCGACGTCTGCACGCGGCGCCATCCCGTTTCGTGTTCCCAGAACGCTGGACACACGAAAATTGTCTTTCGCCGATGGCGCTTAGCGATTCGCTCGTGTCTTAGCCACATATTATACAGTTTTGGTAATTATCGTGGAGTAGATTCGATCGAAATTGAGCATTCTACGAGGGATAGCTCGCACGCGAGGGGTAACAATTTTTGAAAACCCGATCTGTTCGCACCTGTTTCTGTTTATATAGAGATATTCAACTATTCTTAGGCCAACATTTTTACCCCTTGTCTTATGATTTTTTAATAGTCGAGGGTGTACAATGTAAATCGTTAAAATATATCAATGGTGTCAAATTGTGCGACGCAAGTTTAACGTGGCTCTTGTAGATATTTAATATGCTTCACACGAAAACGAAGGAACACGCGGCAGCGACAACTTTTTCAGTCGGTCGATATTACAATAATCCAGCGAGATCGAAGAACCTTTTCGATGATGTGAAAGAAAGACTCATGAGGCTATAGAAATTAAAATCGTCTATTGCATGTTTATTGAATTCGTCGAACGTTAACGACGAATATCAACTATTCCTAAATTATGGTTACACAAACTAAGTCTTCTAACATTCCAACGAAAATTAGGTTTCTTGGTCCAATATTTAGTTATTCAAGTTTGAAACGGACACGAATATTAATGAGAGTCACTGTATATCTTATGTATATTCGCTTCGTTAATCGTATAAGTGAACATAACTTATAATCAGTGAAACGTAACAGAAGATAGTGGAGAAAATGTGAGCTACTGAATAATGTTTTACAGATTCGTTAGCGTCCACTGAGATTTGCGTTTCTACGAATTCACACGTATCTCGATAGTATGAGTTGGAACTATTCGTGGTTCACGTGCAAGCCACAAGTGTGCTAGGATAGGTTCAAGAATACCTAACGTATAGCGGATTTAGGCCACCGCTTCTTAGAAACGATTAGTTCTTCCCGGCTCTCGTAATGCATACTTCTCGAAACTGGATTTAACCTTTAGTATCATAGGTGATGGGAGTTATTGCACAATTAATGCAGTAACGAGAAGTCATCATCTAACGCATTATTAACGACAGTCTATCGTTAAGCAAAAATATTATTTAACAGATAACATCCGGATAAAAAGATCGATTTTCTCTTTTTCGGCTTGAAGTGTGCTTTATATTCTTGCAAATACTCATCAGAGTTCGATGTAATATGACTAAAACGAATCAGTGGGGTTAAGAATTGTAAGATAAAGCAAGAATTGGTATTCGACATTAATTAAATGATAGCAGATTTTCTTTAACAAATAGATTAGTATTTCCAATCTTCTGATTGATTTTTAATATTGGTACAAGTTGGTCGTGGAAGATCACAGCATTGAAATCTCTCACCTGGTAGTTAGGTGAGCAGTAAAACGAGATTCCCAAACTACTCGGAAATAGTGGAAGCTGAGTGTCACGAATCGAGACTAAATTAAAACGAACCGAGATAATTCTGCTCCCCATAATAGTAAGTTTTTATGTTCCTGTTTTTTCCTTCGATATACGAAGAAAACCGACTTCCCGCAGTGGATAAAATGCAAGAAGTTCCGAATGAATTATGACTATAGACCGTTGGATGTTTTTTCAACAGAGGATGCGAAAGGCTGGTTCCTCTATGTGTGTCATGGCCAAAGCGGCCCCAAGTGTGTTTTAGAAACTGTTAGAAAAGTTTGACTTCGGTTGACTCTTGGTTCCGCGTGCTGCAAATTATCGCTCCATGAGAGGGAACATTTGTTGACCTGCGCCTACTTTCTCGACACTCTGAAACCTTCCGATCCTTCGCAAATTCATAAAACCTTTAAGTTAATTATCTCTGTTTTATCAAAATTAAAGACTCCGGCCTCTAATTCTTTTCTTGTAACGTGGATATTTATTGTACAAATAATCCGAAAATGTTTCAAGAATTATATATGATTATATTAAATCTACACACATTATTTTCACTTAATCTTTGTACATTATATTTCTGCAACTTTTAATTTTATAAATAACTTTCAAACAATCAATTTGTAAAGAAAAGACGATTTTTACTGATTTTACTACTTGCTAGAATTTGTTTAACAAAAAATAATCATAATTAATTCAGTTGATTTTGTATATTAATGACAACATAAAGAGTGATATTATTTTTGTAGATTCTATTTACATGAAATTGATTCAACTTGAGGCAAGTAAACATTACAAACGAGCCACGTGTGTTATCAAGTTTACTCCGATTGCAATGATTGCAATCGAGTTCATTAATTATCGCTTCACGATTTCGTCCCAATGATGTGGCACGTAATCGTTCGACTGGTCAGTGATAACGCGCAATCTTTCAGCCAGCGACTTCTGAGCAGACG